GGGGGCAGTGTGTGTGAATGGGGGGCAGTTTGTGTGTATTGGGGGGCAGTATTGGGGGTAATGTATGTGTGTGTGTGGCTTTTTTTTATTGTATATATTTTTTTATTTAATTAAAATAAATACATATTCTATGTCCCCCCTCCCTTCTTACCTTTATTTAGGAGGAGGGGGGACATATTTCGATCCCTGGTGGTCCGGTGGGGGATTCATTAGTGGTCCCAGTGGGGAGAGTGAACTCTAGCCCACGCTCCAGGGCTAGAGTTCACTCTCACGAGATTTGGAGCATTGCCGTGGTAACCGCGGCAACGCTCCAAATCTCGCGAGAGGAGGACCCGGAGGAGCTGCAGGCTGAGCTCCCGGGTCCTCCCTCTCCATCCCCTGCCGGCTGTCAGCACAGTGCCTGCGGACCGGGGAGGGAGATCTCTGATCTCCCTTCCAGTCCGCAGGCACATTGCAGGGCTAGCACCTGCATGTCCTGACAGGGGAGGGAGACCGGCGGATTTCTCGGGGGGGGCAATTGCCCCGTTGCCCCCCCCTGGATCCGCCACTGGTGTGAATGCATTGTTGTTGTAAGTGTAGGAGTACAAATGGTGCTTTAGTAGAGGCAGGGGAAAAAGAGGCTGTAGTGGATGCAGAGGAGGGATAGGGCTTTAGTGGGTGCAGGGAGTATAGGGGCTGTAGTAGGTACATGGGGTATAGGAACTGTAGTGGGCACATGGGGTGCATGGGCTGTAGAGGGGGCCTGGGGATAAGGGCTGTGGTGCTAAGGGCTGTAATGGATGCCTGGGGCAGGGACTGTAGTAAGCGGACTGTTGAGAGTGCATGGGGTAGGTGCTGCAGAATAAGCAGGGGGATAGTGGCTGCAGAAGAAGCAGGGAGGTTAGGGCTGTAGAGGGTAGGGGCTGCAGAGGGAGCAATGGAGTGGGGCTGCAGATGGAGTATGGGGGTAGGGGCTGCAGAGGGAGCAAGGGGGTAGGGACTGCAGAGGGTGCAGTGGGTATGGGGCTGCAAGAGGGTAGGAGCTGCCATGGGAGCAGGGGCTTCGGGGTGTTAGGGGCTGCTGACACAGCAGTGATTGCAGAGGAAGCAGGGGGTTAGGGGGCGTAGAGCGAGCACAGGGTTGGGGCTGCAGGAGAGTAGGGACTGCAGAAGGAGCAGAGGGGTAGGGGCTGCAGAAGGTGCAGAGGTACGGGCTGCAGAAGGTGCAGGGGGTTAGGAATGCAGAGAGGGATAGGGTGTAGGGACTGCAGAATGAGCAAGGGGGTATTGGGCTGCAAGGGGATAGAAGCTGTAGTAGGAGCAGGAGCTTCAGGGAGTTAGGGGCTGCAGTAGAAGCAGGGGAGTAGGGGCTGCAGAAGGAGCAGGGGGGTTGGAGTTGCAGAGAGTAGGGGCTGCAGAGGGTGTAGAGGCCTTTGGATGATAGGAGTTGGTGTAAAGGTATAGGGGTTTGGGGTATAAGTGCTGTGATGGGGCAGTAGTTTAATTTAAAAAAAAATTATTTAAAAAAATAAATCCTCCTCCCCAAGTCTTACCTCCCTGGTGGTGCCAAACTCCTCTTGTGAAGTTTCCTCACCGCCCCAGACATGCTGCCTCTAACTTTGCTAAGGGCAGCTCCGCACAGCAGCTCACACTGTGACTGATGATGTCACTTCCTACAGAACCAGCCGCACAAAGCTGGCCTGAGACAGGCACACTGTGGGGCAGCCCAGGGGGATCTTTGGGAATGCCCCTAAGCTTTCCCTCAGTGTGCCCTGCATGGGGAAGCAGATTTCTAGAAGCAGGGGCCCATGGAAGGCTGTGCGGGCCCCTTACTGAGTGCAGGCTGGCTGGGGAACTTGCTGAACTCTACAGCTCAGCCATTACTGCACTGCAGCCTCAGTTCCTGACGGATTTGCCCAAGTGCTCAGTCTGCCCCTGGACCCAATACTCATGCGCGGCAAGTGCTGCGATTGCATTAGGACACACCTATAGGAAGGCAGTGAATCAATGCTTTCCTATGGGGTTTTAGCTGATGCTCTATGTCCTCATGCCTGGCTTCATTGCCAACATGATGTCACTCCATTCCTTTACTCCCTAGCTGGCACTTGTAGTGCCAGCTAGAGAGCTTCCATAGCAACCACAGCGAATGCGCTGTGGTTGCTATGGGAGGAGAGCAGAGGGGCCCTTCTGCTGTGGGAGGTCTTTCCTGCTCTGCCTTGTCAGTCAGTGCCTCGGCATTGACTGGCAGCTGGGAGAAATAAAACTATTTTTAAATAGAGTTTTCTCCTAGTCTATACATTTGCTAGCAAAACTGCTAGCACAATCTATATATAAAATCTCAATCTAATGAGCACAACTTGTTTGGGGTATAA